TATTAAAATCCACAAAAGAGAGATTAAACAAAAGACACACATTTAAAATTCAAGCTTAAAGACTGTCTGGGTAGGCCTGCCAGAAGAGTTTGGTCTTAACATGATTTTTAAACTATGACAGCTCAATGACAAAAAATTACCCTTTCCCAGATTTACCTTTAAGTGACTGTGGACTTATGTTAATATATTAATCAGGTTTCATCCCATCTTTACCCTCCACAAAGGACCTTGGGAGAATAGAAGAGAGGTATATCTTAAGTGCATCCCATTTGATCCTCGTAATATATATTTTACATTGCAAAATGGTGATGACACTACACAATGCCACGCAAAAGCATTGTGTAATTTTAGTTATTTTCTTTTCCCTCTAAAACCGCATAATTTTCGAATACAATTTTGAATACAAAATTCATCTTTTTTTGTCCAAAAGAAACATTTTCTGCAAAAAATATACTTGTTTACAGACATACTATATTTCTGTGCATTTAAAAAAATGCTAGCATTCTCTCAATCCCTCTCTTACTAATATGAAGCTAAGGAAAGAGGGAATTTCCAGGGGATCAGGTTCAAGTTTCACTCACACTTGCTGAATGTGTGAAAAATGCTCATTTTGTTGCTGTGTACACCCAAAAACACATACAAACAGACACACATCAATTCAGATAATAATTACATCAAAAGAGAGCATGCATATTTGTAAAATATTTTTTAGAGCCGTGACAACAACACCCTAAGTCTAACAACAAACAGTTATGTTCCCTGGTACAGAGAAAGTTAGTTATACTTAAGCTCTATGGAAATAAATGGAAGCAATTGGTGTTGTCTAACATTTTGCATTAATTTCATCACCATTTAAGTGTCAACAATTTTCCTTGGAGAAGAGCCATTATTTAGATTTTCATGACAGTTACTTTAAGAGAAATCCTCTGGCACAAAAGCTTTTAGACATGAGTAAGAGTGAACCATTAAAAATCAACATTACCATACAGCTTTAGAATAATATAATACATTAATCTTTAACCTAAGCTCAAATTCATTTATTTTACCAACAACAAAATCCTACACATTATTAAAACAAAACTGAGTCTACACTGATATCTGTTCAGATAAACTTGAATTTTGAGATAAAATGGGCCATGCAAGAGATATGTAATATCTGCAAAGTGAAGCAACTGTGGTTCAAATAAAATGGCTTGTGGTAATAATAATAATAATAATAATAATAATAATAATAATAACTTTATTTTTATTCCACCCTATCCCCCTGTGGGAACTCAGGGTGGTTTCCAACACAACAGGTAAGCATTCATTACCTATCTAAAATAAAAACCATAAAAATTTAAACGAAGAGCAATACTAAACATTATACACTAAATTAAAATAAGCAATTATATCAAAGAATAACCATTAATAAACTTGAGTCTAAATTTGTATTATTATAATGACAATTACAAAAACTATTTTTGCAACACTAAAAGTAAATTTTATGATGCTAACATATAAACATCAACAAATAAAAAATAAAATAAAAGCTCAATCACAATTCTAAATCTAAATTCCCATTGAAACACTCTATATTTGTCCATCTCCCCAACCTTAAACACATTAAAAATTAACTCTCCACCCAACCAGTGAAAGACATCTGTAAAAGTGCTACAATAAATTTCTTGAAATTGCTTAATTAAATTGAATTAATTAATAAAACTCAAATAGTGAAACTCAGCTTTCAAATTCCACAAGTAATGTTATTCCTCCTTCCTTTTTTCTGTAAGGTCAAAGTTACTGTCAATCTTTCATAAACATTATTCACCAATTTCTCTTTAATCAATATGCATTATTTGTCCATCTTTGTAATTTCAACAATTTTTTTGCAATGCATTCTTCTCTTTTTCCTTTTTTGGGCAAGTAATCATACTGCTAAAATGCAATCTCTTATAGTTCACCTCTTCAATTTGGCCATTTGCAAAGTCCAAGAATTTGTCATAATGTTTCAGATCTGTTATGGAACAGGAGTTTTTAGTTGAGGTTTAAGCTTTGCTTGACACATTATGGAACCCTTTCCCAACTTTCCATAACAGAAAAATGCCAGGTAAGGAGACAGAAGTAGGATGTGGTGAAACGTTTTAACCAAAATTATATTGCATTGTTTTGGGAGACCTGAAACTACATATGCGAATCAACTTACAAGTAGTAGTACAAAGTACAACTCTAAGTTGAGTACTCCTTACTCAGAAATCCAAAATCCTCCAAAATCTGATTTGTCCACATAGATTGCTGAGTTAGTGACACCTTTCTTTTCTAATAGTTGAATGTACAAAAACTTAGGTAAAACTATTGTGTATGGAACTAACTTAATGCTATGTGTTTAAAGTTTATATGAAACATAAATGAAAACATGTTTAATCTTCAGTCCCATCTCCAAGATATCTTATTGCTTATGTATATGCAAATACAAGTATTCCAAAATACATAACACCTCTGATCCCAAACAGTTTGGATAAGGGATGCTCATTGTTTGTTTATTTTTTTACTTTTAAGTCTCTTCTGATATTTACATGTTTAAAAATGTTCGCATTTTAAATGTGCCTTGTACAAAATCATATTCCGTTCTGACAAAATATAATTATATGCCTGTATTGATTTCCTTTTGAGGAAAAGGGAATACATTCAAAACTTTAGAAAGTAGACAAAACCAGCATACTATTTTGTATTCAAATCAAAATGAAAGTTTAAATGCAAACATTCCCAATAAGAGAATATCTTAGCTTGAACAAATTATTTTTCCATCTCCAAACAACCCCCCTATTTATTGAGATATTGGAGCCAGCACACCACAAGAAGCCTCCCATCTTGCCAGGAAAGCATTGTATGATGCTTCCATTCCAGTTGTGGGCAGGGCATCTGCCAGAAATCCACCAGTGTTGTGTGACGGGCATTATGCCCATCCTTCACTGGACTAGTGGGGAAGAGTCCAAGGATGTTAAAAAAAACCCTGTGTGTGATAAGGTCAAAGGTCAATTCCATCAAATGTATTGACTAAAAAATCAAATAACAATCCAGTAAAGTGCTGTCATTAAAAGAAAACTTGAAGTAATTCAAAGATTAACAGGTTTTGTAAATATAAAAGTTAGCTTCCTCCCAAACAAGGAAGCTTTTGCTCCTTCTTCCTGACCCATAAAAAGCAGTAAATCTCATAGAAGTCAGTGGAAAAGTCTTCTGAGTATTCTAAGGTCATGCAATGTTGCCAGATAGAATGGTGTTTCCTAAGAGGATGGACATTAAGGGACATTAGCACCCTCCCTCTTTCCATCTGACACTTGTCAGTTCAGTCAGTTGAAGCTGAGAAGAGGGAGCTTTGAAGATGCCCCTTTTGCCATGTATGGACAACATTTTGTCAGGGGATCTCGCTTGGACTCTTCTACAGCTGAACCTTTGCCTGTATATCTTAAACTTAAATACGGAAGATAGATAAGTATATACATTTAGCTGATATCCTGGAAACTCAGATGCACCTGATGAAGTGAACTAGAGTCCGTGAAATCTTACACTAGAAATTACTTTTCTGGATTAGTCTCAAAGATCTCATAAGGATATCCTTATATCTTCTCATAAAGATACATATATTTGTACTGCTAGATAAGCACTAAGTAATAGCATCTACAGTTCTAGGAAAACGTAGCTGCGAATAAGCCACACTGAAAGAAATAGAATGGTCTCTGAGCAGATGTGTAGAAAACTGCAATGCTAAATATATATTTATTGATGAACACGCAAAACTACTGAATAAAATTTAAAATTATAAAACTTAAAGCAATGAAACAATAATACATAAGTAAAATTCCAATACATTTACAGCAGAATTTCAAAAATCGAGAATATATAAAAAAGTTTAGCTATTAGTATTCTCCTCAAAGACCTTGTAGAATAAAAAGCTCTTGGTGACGAATCTCCTAAAGACCAGGAGGAAGCCAGTCTTGCAAAGCCTTTGGAATAAATAATTGCAGCTTGATTTCAGTGTGCAAAGGAAAGCTAAACCAGTCCCATTGCATCTGGGAAGATTTATTTGGGACCACAAGTGTATCTCAATAAACAGTTAACATCATTTTAATTCCATTTTAATTGTCATTTATCCATCTCATGGAATCTCAGAGTTTATACTTTGGTGAACTACTTAGAATTCTCTGTTGTTGAGTTCAAATCTGTTTCTTGAACTACAGATCTCTCTATAGGATGGCATCAAATTGATTTGATCTTCAACTCTTGGGAAACCTTGGTACCTTTTTGATATCTTTTTAATATTTCTACAAATCCCAGGATTCTTTCAAATGGAACCGTGACAATTAAGATTATAGAAAAACCATGTAGCTTGCATAGTGCTGATATATTTCAGGTGTTTCTTGAAATATCCTGTGTGGTCAAGCCTGACCATTATACCAACACCTGCTACAGTTGCAACTTGTTAAACATCATAACATAGATGGAATTCCAAAAGATACCATGCCAGTAGTAGCAAAACACATCAAAGTCCCTTTTAAATGTAATAATTAAAATCATAATCCTACACAAAGTATCTGGGAATAAAGCCCATGGCACATAAAACTGATTAAATACCATGCTATTAGTTTGCATAATAGTTATTTTCTCAGATCAGCACATTCTCTTATCATTGCTTGCAACTTCACAGAACTGATGAATGTATTTTCCCTAGCTATAGTATAGAGAGCATTGTGTCAGTTCCATATTTCCAAAGAGAAACTGGATATTCATAATCAAAAAGAATTTTGCGACAGACACATCACAGCATGATAGTTTTGAGCATTCTTTTTTCCCTTAGGAATGAGACACACAATTGTCAGGAAAGCAGAACTAAATCAGAGAACAGAACAACTTCTGCAGCCATAACTCTTCATCACATCCCTTCTTTCAGATAAATTAAGGCACTCAGATATTGATGCGAAGAACAGCGGTGCCAATAAAATCACTGACTGTGAGACACTTACCATATTTATTGATGACACTGGGCCAATGCTATTAACATAGATGTCAACATCAATGACAGTAGGTTTCACTGAGAAAGAAAAGAGAAAAAACAAGATTTAATATTGCACGAGAAACAAAAAAGAGAGTTGCATTAAGCATGTTTCTAATCAGTGTTCAAATCTTTAAACCTGTTTTGAAGCAAGGTCACAGCATAGGTGGTATTCCCTCCCTAAGGACCAAGGTGAACCATTTTCAAAGCCTCATTCTTTTAAAAGGAATGGTCTTGGAAGCAATGCATGTATATATATATTTCAATCTATAGTTCCTTCCTGTTCTACTCGATGGAAGAAACTGGAGTATGCCTTCAAGTGTCAGAGGTTAGAAGGTTCTCTAGATCACCAGGAGGTCAGCATCTGTGACTTGGCATTTTCTTTACCATCAACCAACTCCCGAGTCCCCAAGTCAATTTGCACCTGTTTCTGTCCATTCCTCTGGAGGGAAGGGCCTGGAAACACATCAACTGCTTGGAACAGGGAAGAACCTGTGTCATGGAAGGATGTGAGGACATGCTAGTCAGAAATCTAGTCAACAAACGTATAAGAAAAAAAGACTGGCAGGTCTTCCAACTAGCCAAATAGGGCTAGGTCTATTGCCAGCTAGTGACAAAAGTGTATGATACTACTATCTGCATGTTTGCGAACTTTGAAAGTCAAGTAAAGATGATCTAATTAATTTCATAGACAAGGAATACTAAAAGATGGTTCTTCCTCTAAAATATAAACTATAACACTTGACATTCATTGGCAGTCTCTCATTCAAGTATTAATCAGAATTAATCTCCTTAGTTTCCAAGTTCAAATGGAATCTGGTGCATTTGGGGTGTTTAGACACAGACTCCAATCAACACTTCCACAGTGAGGTTGAACCAGAATTGTTTCCTCCATTTCATGAAGTTATACATATGAGAGGTCAAATTTTAGCTACATTTTTTAAAAGAAGAAGCCTTCATTGTATGAGGACTTATCCTTTATTTAGCCCATCCCATCACTGCTTAAAAATGAGAACTTATAGCAATACATATTCTGAGAGAAGAACACAGATTACTACTAACTGCTTCAAGAAGCAATAATGTCTTGCTTGCTTGCTTGCTTGCTCTCTCTCTCTCTCACTTTGAAGATGAAAAGTTATTTTAGACAATGAATCTGTTAGTCTTCATAGACTTTTTTTAGGCTAGTAAGGGGGAAATAGTCAATAGGAAACTTCTTACATGCAAATCTTGGCAAAGAAAACCTGTGATCGTTTGCCTTATGGTTGCTATAGCTCTGAAATGACTTGAAGACACACCAACAATATCAACATCAGCAGTAAGTGCCTCACACAACAGTTTGTGTTTCAATGACTGAAATGATACCCGGGGCCCTTTCGGATAGGCACTATATCCCAGGATCTGATCCCAGCTTTTCTAGTTTAAACTGGATTACATTAGTCCACACTGCTAGATAATCTGAGATAAACAGAAAACCTAGGATCAGATCCTGGAATATAGGGCCTGTCTGTAAGGGCCCCGGGAAATGCACTGCAGTGCTTTAGAGCTAAATCAGTTTGGCTGAACAAGCTTGATCCACCTGCTCATTCCTTATATATTCAATTTACTGTACCTTTCAAGACAGAGATGGAAATCTCACGGCCCTCCAAATATTGCTGGTGGGCTAATGGAGGCAACAACCCAACAGCATCTGGAGACATTGCATAATTTCCATCACTGATTTAGTAGTACAACCCTATTCTTTGTAATTTGGCCAAAAAAGCTGAAGTTCCAGTGTACTCATCGCTGAGCCTGGAACCCCAGGTTTCGGCGGTGACCAGGGGAGCATTTGCACAGTTAAAACTCATGCGCCAACTGCGCCCGTACCTTGGGAAGTCTGACTTGGCCACGGTAGTCCACGCTCTGGTTACATCCCGTTTAGACTACTGCAACGCTCTCTATGTGGGGTTGCCTTTGAAGACGGCTCGGAAGCTCCAATTAGTCCAACGTTCGGCAGCCATGATACTAACAGGAGCGGAGCGCAGGGAGCATACAACTCCTCTGCTGCACCAGCTCCACTGGCTGCCAATTTGCTACCGGGCTCAATTCAAAGTGCTGGCATTGGCCTTTAAAGCCCTAAACGGTTCTGGCCCAACCTACCTATCCGAACGTATCTCGGCCTATCAGCCCACCAGGACCCTAAGATCTTCTGGGGAGGCCCTGCTCTCTATCCCGCCTGCTTCACAGGTGTGGCTGGCGGGGACGAGAGACAGGGCCTTTTCTGTGGTGGCCCCTCGGCTATGGAACGCCCTTCCCATGGAGGTAAGATCAGCCCCCTCGCTGATGGTGTTCCGTAGAAGATTAAAAACCTGGATGTTCGAACAGGCATTTGGTTAATTCGATGCAATGAATGTAATGATTAAAGGATTGGTAATATGGACGACGAAACTGGATCACGATTTTAGTCATGAGATGCATTGGTTGTTATTGTTGTGTCAATACTGTGTATTATGCTTTTATGGTTTTAAATTGTATATTGTTGACTGTTGTACCTTTGTTGTAAACCGCGTTGAGTTGCCTGTTTAGGCTGAGAAACTGCGGTATACAAGTAAAGTAAATAAATAAATAAATATTCAAAGGAGATTAATGCTAGGCAAATGGATGCAGATTTTCAGCAATTAAATACATGTAATTGTTTTCTATCCATGTTCTCAATGTAACCACCAGTTTAGGGGACACATAGAGACTGTGAAAAAAATCAGTCCCCATTTGTTGGCCAACAGGAATCTGTTCCCCTTTCAGTCACAGTTCAGTCAGGAAACAGCAATCTTCTGTCAGGAAAGAACACGTTCTTATCCCATCCAGAGTGAGAAGGAAATTGTGACAGAGGTCCTGCTTCTGTCTGTTGCACCAAGGACCTCACACAGGAAGAAGTGGAAACATTAGCTGCTTCCTAATTGAGAAGGGAAGAGACTCCCATCCATCACAATGGCTGGTGCCCAGTTAGTAGGGACTGAAGCAATCAGGATTCACCACCTCAGTGTAACTTGTAGCTGCAATTAATGTAACCCTGATTGTACTGCAACTGAAAACAAAATGGCAATCTTGCTGCATTTCTACAGCACAATATTGCTGGTCAGTGAAAAAAGAGGGAGAGCACAAGCAAAAAAAAAAGGAGTCAAGAATGTGAAATACTTAGGATGTCAAAGCTTTTCATCTAAGGCAATTCAACACTGTTAAGAAATATTCGCTATATAACCACTTTGACTAGTTAATTGAAATCGGAAATTCAAATTCAATCTAAATGTAATGACCATGCATTTCTAAAATGGATGCATTTAGCACTTTTTTTAGAGATCAGTCACAGCTATAACCACGGGGTTTTAAAAAATAAATAATCCAGTATCCAGAATTTCATGTTCAAGTAATTTTGTGGCATTAAAGAGCAGTTGCTTTCAGACAATTTGGAAGAGTTAATTAAAATCAAAAATTCAAATTGAACCTAAAGAATAGCCTTGGATGAATTGGAGCTCTGGCTACTCTGGCTGAGTAGAGAAAAGGAATCTCTACTCAGCTGAACAAATACAGCTGATTAATGTAACCCTGATTGTACTGCAACTGAAAACAACATGACAATCTTGCTGCTACTCCTCTTCAGACTTTGATGTTGCAAAATGAAATAATAGAGGGAACTCTTAGAAAATTATAATAGATGTAATTTTGGAACATATTACATAGGCCAAAAAAAGCACAGGGCAGTAGAGCTACTGTGCCTACGGGTCTTCTAATCTTGAATGGGGACAAAGCAAACTCTTTGTCAAATCTCATATTGACTAGAACTCTTATAACATTCACAACAGGATAACAAACAAGGCATGTCACAACGAGGATCGATTTCCCCATTGGTTGAAATGAAAAATGTTTTTAAGATTGCAAGGAATACTTTAAGGAATGTTCTCTTTGAAGGTTTTTATACTCAGTGTAATATATTGTCATGCCTTATTCCTATTCTAATACAAAGTACTTTGGCATGGCTTGGTCTTAAATATGATTCACTAAGGGTCCTTCCACAGAGCCTTATCTCCCAGAACATCATGGCAGAAAATCCCACATTATCTGCTTTGAACTGGAATATATGGCAGTGTGGACTGAGGGCCCTTCCACACGGCCCTATATCCTGGAATATCAAGGCAGAAAATCTCACGTTATCTGTATGCAGACTCAGAGAACCCAGCTCAAAACAAATATTGTGGGATTTTTCTGCCTTGATATACTGGGATATAGGGCTGTGTGGCAATAAAAAGTGACAAAACTGGCCTGTTGGAAAATTCAGTGATTTAAGGAAGGAAGGAAGGAAGGAAGGAAGGAAGGAAGGAAGGAAGGAAAAGACCACAACCATTCATGCTATGTACTGCCAACAAAACAAGTAGAGGCAAAAGCAAAGTAAAAGAGAAGAAAATAATTGTATACTGTCATTTGAACACGCAAGAAGGAAGAAACCAAATTGTACTAGACTGAAATATCCTCCATTCGAAGGATACAGACACAATCTCAGCACAAAGTTAAGTCATTCTGAAAGCTATCTTAATTTTCAACATGGTAGGAATGGTGTGGATTCAGCACAGCTTCAGCTGGCCTTTGGCCATCTTTGTCAGTTAAAATTACACTCTAAGGCAGCATCCTTAATGATAGGGCTAGCTTTTTTAATGCTTACTTAGCCATGTTTTGAGCCTCTTGTCACAGACAAGTCTTTCCCTGTGGTTATGTTGCCTGGACAGGAAAAAGTCTGTCCTGCTAGTTTCACAAATCTGCCAGTCAGATTGTGAATGTATATCGAGTTCTCTGATGCTGTTCTTTCAGAATGATCAGACAAAAATAGTTTGAAAGTTCTGTCAGTCACTCTAGAATTATATGTATATTATAAGCGGAAGAGTGATTAAAGGTTGTCAACAGATGTATCAACCTTCTCAGATCAACATCTCTGAAATAGCTCCTAATGCGGGATGGCTATTTTTGTAAAAAGAAGAAATGGTTGTGGGAAATAAACACGTCCAGATTCCAAC